GATTGGACCCATAGTATGTTGTTCTTTGTTGTATGCGTATGTTTATGTGTGTATGAGTACTTTGGGGGAACTCACTAAGCTTTCAGGCTTATAGTTGTGGTTTATTGTTTCAGGTACTTCAGGAGATCGTGGCAAGGCGAAGGCGTGATCGTATCGCCTCCTCATGTTTTATGATTTATGTGATATGGTTATGGGGATACTCTGATGTCTAAACTATTTTGAAAACAAGATGTATGAACTTAATGGTTTTTGAATGAAATAAAATGTTTTAAATTGGTTGAAATTTTTGGTCGTTACATAAGGGGTTAATAGAACAAATCACACTTTTCACTAAACTATACCCGCTACATTGCAAATTATTATATATAAATGGACCTTTTGTCGAGACTCTTCTGTCTATGTGCAACTTTTGGCTAGAAAAGTCCAAAGCAATCTTACACACCAAATCATTTAATGAAGAAGATTTTAAGTTTGATTTGTAGACAAGAGATGAAATAAACTCAAACGTTACTAAATTGTCATGATCGCAACAAATTCTATCATCAGAATGATTGGTCTTGTGACATAGAACCTTCGTAAGTACATTTGTTTTCCCCACCAATAAAGCTGTATGGAAGATTGGAAGGTACACCAACCAATCACCTCGGTAAATCGCATAAAACCACAAATCTAGAGAATGAAAGCAAAAATTAGGTTTGGTATTTTGTGTAATTTGTCTAACATGGTATTTAACAAAGGTATATAATTATTGGTTATATAAATATATTATAATCAAAATGTAATTAAACGATAAAATTATGTATAATGAGAAACAAGAATTACATGTAATACTCTATATAAACAAACAAAAGCTTTATAAATAAAATATGTAAAAGATATCATTTATTGAAACTCGTATTTTAGGGTTCGCTTACTTTGTGTGCTTCATTGATGCATTCTCCACCAAAAAATTATACTTTTCTATGTTTGATTATGATCACTTACCATGGTCGGTCCCATGTGTTTCCTCAACCCATATCTTTAAAGTATGCATTTTCTTTGAAAGTCATAATGTAGAAACAAAATATGCTATTTTCTAAGTAAGGGAAAATACAATAATAGAATATAAATTCAAGTATACGATTATCTTTATCTTATAAGTATCAAAATTTAGGTTTATAACCAAAGGACCTTTGACCTAAGATATTGGGCTGTTGGAAAGATGTAAGAACCCAAGTGGTTGAGGTTCAACACCTATGATAAAAAAAAAATGATTAAATGGAATTGTAAGTTAGCCGTTCTAAAATAAAAAATAAAAACGTTTAGGCTTATAAGGGGGCTTAGCTTTCATTTCTTTTGTACATAAAAACATCAATCTAACATTAAAAATCATATAGATTATAAACATACATATTAAGTTTCAAAATTATTCATACGAGTTTCGAAATTCTTGTATGTAAAAGGAGAGTTTCGAAATTCGTTTTTAATTTATATAAACAATGCAAAATCACTACATACCAAGATTACCAAGTTGTTAAACACTATATGATATTTATACAACGAACTAAAACAAATAAATAAATAAAAGCCATAAAAGCTAAAGAAAATATCGAGTTTCGAAATTCTTCATACGAGTTTAAATTGGTTTACTTAAAGTTACGGTTTCAAAATTCATTTTTAGTGTATATAAACAATCCAATACCACTATATATCACGTTTAGTCGGTTATTAAGTCAATAAGTCCTATAACAGTTACAAACTAATTTATATACATATTAATAAAGAGTTCCCTTAGGAACAGTACCTGACCAGGGTACTGTTCCTTGGGTTGATTAGTATACTGGGTTAGTTTATTCCCACCGATCCACCGCCTCAAATGTCTATCTATTCTAATTTTCGTCTCCTCCACCTTCTCTCTTCCCTTTCGTCTCCACCCATCACCGCTCCCTAACCTCTGACTCTTCCTACCGCTTCCAACGCCTTTCATCGTCGCTGCACCCTAATCAGTGGCTACAACTCCTTTGGAATACCAACGGTTCTGGAACAACGTATATATTCACGCTGTGAGAATCGTCGTCAACACTGGCTCTCCGTCGCCTTTTGCACCGACGGCTACTCTCAGATGTTTACCAACCTTTAAATTTTTGTCTGGAATTTTTTAATCGTTTCTTGCTGCTCCAAAACAGCTTCTTCATTTACCCACTTCATCTGCTTCTCCCTCTATTTGCTTTCGATTCCATTCGATGTCGGCATCGGCGGGAGTAGGTCGATTCATCCTTCGTGTTGCGTCTCTGTTTGGTGTCTGGTGGGTTTTCTATTCAAGCGATTTCATCACGATGAAGTAATCTTTTTCCTTGTAATTATTCAAAAAAACAAAAAAAGCTCGACATGTTCTTACATTTCTATCATCAATTTTGTGAAATTTTTTCAATGGTTCAAGATTTGCTTCTCATGTAGGTCTGACTGTGAGTTGGATATAAATGGAAACATTCGTTTTTAACATATGAAATTTTTTTCACATATTAATTCTCAAAATGTTTACATGTTAAATTTCAGATTCCGAAAGGAAATGGAAAAGGACCTATTTGCTCGAAGAAGATTGAGAGATCGTCTGTGGAGGTGAACTGTCCTTAACTTTGTATATATTATGCTCGCCACTCACCAGGTGTTTGCTAAAATTACCCAAAGACTAACAAACCATTCTTTTCAAATTTTTAGGCTCTTTTTTATTTTGTTTATAGCTCACTTTAATTTTAAAATTCCGGCATGATCTGGAGAAGCTTGCAATTTGTTGGAAGAATAAAGATGCCCCTTCATCTTTCATCTGCAGGGGAGTCTACTCTATTGGTTGATGACACATTAAAAGTTATGGACTGCTGGGTAATACTTCTATCAGTAACAATTCCTGCTCATTTATGGAGAAACTTGGATCTTCATCTTGGACTTCTGTTCAAATTTTTTTAAAACACAGCCATGGAGTGAGAGGGATTTAATTTTTCTGTGGATGCACTTCCTGTAAAGGTAGGCTTAACTGTTATCCACAACAATTTACACAAATAACACAAATAGTTAGTTAGTTAGTTTTTTTTTTCTTATTTTTTTTTTTTTTATTTTAAACTTTAGCTATTACTCATTTATGGACAGATCAGTGTGACAATATATGATTGGGATATGATTCCTTAACCATTCCTGTCGAAATCGATGGGCATACTGATGTAGTATGGCATCTCTTGAGTAATTCCCTAGGGAAGGTGTGTAATTTTGTTTTATTTCCTCTTTATATTATCTATTACTCACATTGTACAACAGTTGGACCATTTTGCCCCTGTTCACAATGAATGCAGTAACTACATACAGTGGACATATTGCAATTTTATTTACAACTTCATTTGTCCCTAATGTCATCATACACAATTGACCATTTTCACTTTAATAACAGGTGGACTCTCCCCTGTTCATCCTCCTAACAATTTTGAAGTATTTCTTCAGGTTCCTTTTTAGTTTTGACGCTTTTAATCTTCTTGCCTCAGGATGAAGAACCAAGAAGATGTCCACTGAATGTAAAGTTACATATATGTAGCTTTAATTAAGTGAAAAATAATTATCCTCATGGCTTATGTGCAGATATATCAGCATTCTATGCTCCATGGTCGGAGCATATACATTCAAGCCATTACAGACGAGGTCAATTTTATATTTTTACATTTAAAACAAATTTAAGTCATCTTTATGTCTATTTTTCCATTATTTTGCAGGTTAAGTGCATGTTACACAAGGGATGATAAGTAGTGATTGTAGGAGTTCATATTTATTACTTTTCCATGAGAAATTACCAACTGCTGTTTCGAAAGCTATGTTTTCTCATTTCCAACAAGAAACAGAAAAAGATGGGCAGAGAATAACAATGTACTTTACTGTGGTTAAAAAATAGCAATGTACAGGCGAATTGCAGAGAATAGCAATGTACTTTAATGTGGCTACCAATTCAGACAATGTACTATACTTTCACAGAAAAGTGACACCTTCCAACCCCCAAAGGGGGGGGGGGGGGATGTACTAAAATGTGTATTTCCTTTTATTTTTTTTAAAATATATTCTTTTCGTGGTAATTTATATGAGTCTCCTATAGTAGCATCATTCATTTTTTTATAATTG